TTTTTCTTTCTTAAATTTCTTCCTTTTTTACCACCACCACGGACGGTCACTGTGGTTTCCTTTACTTTTCACCTTGGTTACTACACTGGCTCCATTTTTTTCTGTTTCTAGTGCTGAGCCATTGGGGTTCATTGTCATCTAGAGCCCAGCTCTATTGTGACTCTCAAGGTCAAGCATACCGTTTTGTGAGGGTATCCCCCATCTACCTAGCACTAAATGTGTGCCCCATCTTCCTGGAACACTTGATATTTTTGTTGCAGGCCCTATGCTTTCCATGGTAGGGGCTTTGTTAACAAAAATTTCCCCTCATGAAATAAACTTTACTGTGCTTACATGTTGAAATTGTAGCTGTCTTTCAAAGCTTAACTCAGATTCCCCATTCCTATGTGAAGACTTTGTGAATTTCTCAAACTGGTTATGACTTTACTGTTTTCTGGCTTTACCCCATATATTGTCTGCCATAGGTGTCTTTTCTTTTAGTGGTGTACATACATGCTTCCTAGTTTGCAAACTCTGAAAGGGTGGGAACTGGATCTTATGGCTCTTACTTTGCAAATAGTTGACGTCAGAATATAACTTTTGAATTTAATGAGCTGTACAACCTCAACTGTTATGCAGATCTTCTTTCTGAAAATAAACTTTCAGTAGCTTTATGCTCTTTACCTTTTTCTCTGTAATTACCCAGTGCTGGACAGTTCAAAAAATTCATCTTACTGCCATTGTATCCCTCATCTAGGGCTTTCAACATACATTTTTTCCAGGCCAGGGTTGAGCATTCGTGCCTTGGCAGATTGATGGCTATGACTGTGAATAATGAGTCAATTGTCATCCAGCCTCAGGGAAAGTACAATTATTCCTGACTGGCCAGGCTGAGGTAATCCTCTCCTCCCTGCACCCTTTCAAATAGAGAACATAAAACAGTTGGAATTCAGAACACTGCAAAGGGAATTTAGATGAAACACTTGTGTGCTGAATTTAGCTTCTTTGGGCTTATTCTGATTTATGATTGATTGGTTTTAAAATTGCTTATTTAATCCTAATAACTATTGCTCCAGGGGAGGCCAGATACCAAGGAGCATGTGATCCAGAAGCAGCGGAGTGAAGTAGTTTGGCCAGATGTATCAAGAACAAGTGTTATTGTCTGGAGAAGCATTGCTGTAGGCTAGAAGCATAATGTGAAAATCACCTAGACTTCCAAAGTGCCCAACCTTGTTATAAGCATGATTGCTTATCCTCTATTCTTTGCAGAAGGCTTTCTTAGCAGCTGCCCAGTGTTATACAGAATATTCCCCCTATGATTTTTTTTTCTTTCCTTTTAGTAATATATTCAGTATCTCATTGTGACTGAGAACGTGCTCTTGATTTATATTGCTATTGAGTGAGTATGGTGCAGACGAACAGAAACTTTTGAGGCTGCTGGCAGGGTTGATCATGTATTCTGATGTTGGTTGTGCTGATCTGTGAAACCTACTGCAAACGTGGTAACGCTTCTCAGGACATGGAAGCCAGTCCGGCTCTATATGGATGAACTTGAAGTTTTAAAAACAATTTCTTTCAAAACTGAGTTCTCCAAATGTAATCATTTTCATCTGGAAAATATATAATCAATATGCAGTTAGTTTTTAATTTATGAAGGCATCAAAAGTTTTTACCTTTTCAAAGAGTGTAACCTTTCTCTTTGGTCTGAAATTAAACACCAGAGGTGTAGTGGTAGCCTTGTAAGGCAGGTCTGTTGGAAGCTTGTCTGTTTGGTATCAAAAGGAAATTGAAATTCCATTGCTTCAGAATAATGAAACCTCTGAAAACCTTTAAAAAAAAACAAAAAAAAAAAACCACTTTTGTCTCATCCGCATTGAAGTTTTGACTCAGAAATGCCCAAAGAAATACTCTTTCAGGTCTCAGTAACCTACTTGTTCTCTGAAATATTGCTGTTAGATTTCTAAACTGTATTATGCCTGACACAGATTTCAAAGCAGGAAACATTAGGGATGAGATAAAAGGGTAGACAAGGACTGTGATAAAAAACAGAAACAGAAGAAGAAGATGAGATGAACAGTTGGGTGGCACGTGTGGATCGCTACCAGGATCTCTCTGGGAAGCAACATCTGGTCTCTAATCAGACTGTCAGCCACTTCGGAGTCTGGGCTGTGCCAGCATCTGCCATTTTGACATTATCATATTGAAAAAGAACCTTTTTCCCATCTCATTCTGCCAAGAGAGTTTTTATTCAGTAGGTTTAAAATGATAAAAGGGTGCTTTTAGGTCTTTGGAGCCATGTGTATTCTTGTGGAAGTGATTTCAAGGTTTAGGAAAGACCCTTAAACTACAATTTTAATCAGAGAGTGAATAAAGTTCTTTTATATATCTTGAAGTATTTTAAAAATAAAAATTTTACATTAAAAAAAGGGTTTTCAAAGAGTGGGAATAATTTGTATGAGAGCTGAGACTTTGTCAGTAGTTCAGTATAGATGGGGCTTTACCACATCTTGCTCTTTGTTTCAAAGCCCTTTTATATGGTTACTGGGTAGATAATCTGAATGTTTTCTTAGAAATGGTAGAGGAGCACATTGAGTGAGGACAAATAGAAGCTGTCCTTCCAGAGTATCTGTTATTTCCAGACGTATCTGGCCTTGTTTAAGTCACTGTCATAGCAGTGTTCTGTGGGTCCACAATCTTTCTTTGTTAATCCTAGATTTAGGTTGTGCCTGCCTTAAAGGATAAGCTGGTAGAAGTGTGATAGCCACAAGAAGTCATCTTCCTTTCTAGCTTTGCTGAAGTTTGAGAGTGTCTTTTATTCTTCTCTTAATTCCTCCTGTTTCCAAGCATGTGCATGTGTATCTTGCTTTATCCTGTACCGCTGGTTATTGTTACCCCGTAATTAATTCAGGACATCTTTGTGTCTATAAAAAAAGGAGGATGTCTGGGAGGGTAAATTCTAAGACCATTTCCTTCTCACGTCTGTGATCCTTCATTGCACTGGTTACATGAGTACTGTTCTAACAGCCTTCTAACAGCTGACTCAGCCTTCAGGCGCTCTTTCCAGCATCCAAGCCTGGAGTTTCACACCTGAGTTTCTAGGGATTCTTTGAGGTACAAGGCAGGGCTTGCCTCTGTCAGTAATTGTTAGAAGTTATGGATACTGGTACCCGAGGCAGTAGTATAGAGCTGGTCTGAACATGTGTCTTTTATGGATATGACTTTGAAAGAGAAAGTGATGCATTCAATAGTTGTGTTTTTTTCCCCCCTCTGGCCTATGGATGGTGTACTCTAGACTGGGTTACCTTATCCCTGTTCCCTAACAGTATTTATATTTTAATATTCTGAAGATACCCCATGAGTCATAATTCTGTCAGTGATAAGGTGTTCAGAAACAAACGATTCAGAAACAGCTGGACTTGCATCAGGCTGTGGTTGTCACAACAGCCTTACTGGTTTTCATGCCATGTGTCTAGTGACTCAGGAAAAACCACCACAGCCACTTTTCTGGCTTAGGTCTCTCCTAACTCCTTTAGTTACAAGCTTGTCTATGGGCCTCACACATGAAATAGCCTTTCATTTCTGGGATGTTTGCATGGTAGAGTCTAGCAAGGGAATAGAGTAGAATTGCCTCACCCAGCAATGGCTTGATGTCAACTCTATTCCTTTATCACTCCCTAATCATAGACATAAATTTTTATATTTGCCATTTTCATAACAGCCAAGCTTCACTTTTGGGATGTATCCTACAGCCTCGGTTGTTTTTTGATTATTGCATACTTTCCTTTGTTTCCTCCCTTTTTTATTTCTTCCTTCTTGTGTTCTGTAAGGACCTCTTTTTGGTCACTTGCTATACTATTCTAAGTAGCAAAACAGAGTGGTTGGGAGGATAGATTCTGTTCAAAGACTGGGTTCAGATTGCCATTCTACTACTTATCAGCTTCATAGATCTGAACGAGTTACTTAATCTCTCTTGGTTTTCTTACCTGTAAAATGGTCCTTCCCTGTAGGGGCATTGCATGGCTTAAATGAGATGCTTGTGAGAGGCTTAAAAGAGAGTGTCTTGTATAATGTTAGCTATTTACATTAGTTTTAATATCATTACTATTAAGACTTACCATTCCTTTAGTGTAATTGATGGGCCCAAGATTTCCTGTGGCTATATTCCTCCCTACATTTGCAGCTGTGTTTGGGTCATTTCTCCCAGTTTCCACCAGTAACTCAATTTACAGCATGGGCAAAATTAGATTCACTATCTTTCAGCTAACTTATGCCATTTTTCTCTCCATATTTGTGTTAATGGCACTATAATATTATAATTTTATCAGTGTCTTAATTTCAAATTAATTTCAGGCTCTTTTCTTACCTCAAGACATAGTCATGAACATGCATAGATTTAATTCACAGGTATTATTTCTTATAATTGCTGAATTTAGAATAAGACAGTGCTTAAATGATTTTACATTTATGTAAAGCAGTTCTTTAGAACTGTTAAATTTACACAGAAATGTGTTCAATAACATGAAAAGAAAGATTACTGGCAAATTGAATTATGCTAAGTGTGGTATGATTCCATTTTGATTTTTAGAAGCACATGGATATGTAAAAGATTAGAAAGATAGCCACTGAAAACATTTTGTTGTGCTTATTCTGGCTTATAGGACTTTAGTGGTTTCTATATTTTTATTTTCTGTCATACTTTACTTTTATATAAAGAAAAAGACAAATTTAGAAAACAATAGGATAAGTAATGTCTAAAAATCTAGCAAGTACTGTGCTTTATTGATCGTTTAATTACGACCAAGTACAATGCTGAATTGATAGTAAGTTCTCAGTATTTGTTGAATAAAAAGGTGTTGTGCATTTTGGAAATAATTTTATACTTAAGAGTGCTTAATGCTTCAAGGATTTAACTCGTAGGGCTCACGAAAGTGTTGTATTTCTTGGAACTTTCTCAATAAATACAGAATAAACCAAACTGGGTATGATTGATATTTTCTAACATTATATAACTTTCATTTCAGAGGATATCATGACCAAAAGGGGAGCACTTGGGCTGGCTGCTTCAAACACATTTATGTCAGTAGAATTTACTCATAAAAATGAACCACATGACCACTGTCTTGGACATACATCCACTTCTCTCCGTACTTCATCACAGTGTTTAGAAGAAGAACAGGTAATTTCGTAGCATATTTATACAGATAGTCCAAGGCAAGAAACATTTTTCATGAATTTAAAAAAAGAGAGACCCTTAGAAACATTGGACTGTGACTGGATTTCTAACTCTTTAATTCTAGGAGTGTGATGGGGTGCTTGGTTGAAAATCATCATTATATTTCAGTATTTCAACAGCTGTCATTTGTGATAGTAACTTGGTTATCTTTAATTTTCATTATAAACTTCTTAAAGTTCTGTCATCTGTAAATTCTTCTTACAGCTATTTGTATGTTTTCTTTGAGATGAAAGGATTCCTTTTTATATGTCTTTTTGTAAAATGGACTACATTTTACTTGTCCTAGATTCATCTCTGATATGGTTGGGGTTTAGATGTCCCCAATGCCTCATGCTGTCATAGGTGAGGCTTTTTCAGAGGTAGCGGGATCTAGAGTGTGTGATGCTGGAATTGATTGATGATGCAATGCTACGATCAAGGAACTAGGATTAAGGTAGTGAGTGCTACTACCCTAAGTAGTCCGGACAAGATATAAGGGATAGAGATAACTGTGGTTGTCCCTTGACTTTGTTTCCTTCTGTCTACCATAAACTGCTTCTCTTTTGCGATGACTGTCTGCCAGACCATCCTGCCATGGGGCCAGCCCATTATGGATTGACACCTCTACAAACTATGAGCCCAATAAACCTTTCCTCCTTTAATTTTGGTGTTGGGTATTTTTTTTTGAACAAGAAAAGTAACTAAGATAACCTGATTTAAACTTCAAGGTAGAAATTTATCTTGGTTTTCCAAGATTTGGTCTATAAATGTCCGATGCTTTCTTCCTAACCTTCAAGACTTTATGGACCATTCACATTTTCCTGGGCTGTGGTTTTTAATTACCAGACAATGATAGTGGATGCTATTTTATCTTTAAAACCATTTGAATTTCTACTTCTGTCTTATCTTGTCTCTCTTTGATATTGGAACAGAACTGTGGAAAAGACTGTGGTTTTATGCAAGGAAACAAAAATCTCTGTGCTGGAAATGTGTTTATATGCAGTAGAGACCTATAAATGTATAGACCTTTACTTCTAGATGTTGCTTTAATTGATGATTGTGAGAGATGAACTTTTATCCTTAGAGGATTTACACTGTACTAGCAATTACTGGTCATTTGGATTATAGAACATATTGTAATGTAATGTCTTCTATCAGCTTATAAGAAGCAAAGAATTGAGTGACATTGTTTTCTAATAAGAAAATGTTATATTAACATTCTCTGGTCTATCTATCAGAAGAAGTTTGTTGGGATTGAGAGAAGGTGAAGAATGTTGTTGTTTACACACAAGAACACTGAGATTAGCCAATCTACTGTGGATTGCAGTGTAGATGCATTTTCAGGGCAGAAATAGAAATGAGACTTAGTGAAACTTACTCTTTGACTTCTTCTATGCCTCAGAAAATCTAGCCTTTCATACAGAGCTAATTAACAACACCTGGAAAGGCTACATGATTGGCTATTTTGTTTTCAAATTGCTTCAGTTTTCCCAATAACATACCCTCACTATATTTTCAGATAGTGTTGGACGAGGGCCAAAAGGTTGGCAATTTCTTTCAAGGTGATCTGAACCGGGCTGGAAGGGTGAAGGTAAGGCTTGATTCACTTTCTTCTATGGCCAAAAAATGCAAACAAAATCACAAACTCATTCCCTTTCCTTTGTATGAAGATGGAGAATTCAGCAGGTTTGGTCTTTGCATTTTATATTAAAAACTGGTGTTTGAATATCCTAAAGCTATCTTTACTTGGTTTTTGGATCTTTTTTCCTTAAAGTTTAACATGTAGGAGGGGTGTTTTAATAGAAAACTATGTCTGTAGGCCTCCTTAGCATATATTCAGCCAATGACAGTACAATAGAATCTCAAATTCTACTATGGAAACCATCATGTAGAAGATATATCTTTGCTATCACTGGGATGCCAGGTAATAATTGCAGTTTTGTATTTCTAAGCAATGGAAACTATCATTTTATTTTATTTGGTACCAGGATTTGAACTCATGTTCCTATGCTCGCCAGGCAGGCCCTTATGCCAATAAGCTATATATCCCCAACCCCCAAACTACTATTTTAAATTCGTATTGAATAGCTGTGGTCTGGCAGTTACAAGTTGAGCTAGGAGAAAAAAGACAGTCTGTCTTTTGAATTGCAATTATGAAATATAAATTTGTAATTTTAAGGTATTTTGTTATGCACATGTTTAGATCATGAGCATAAAAAGCATCATAACCTTATGCCTTTAACACTTGTCATTTATGCTGGTGGTGAAATCATTTCCTTATTTATGTTCTTTGGTATTCCTCTGCGATGAAATAGTTCATGTCTGACATGTTGCCATTTTGTTAATCTAAAGTGTCTGATTGTCAGCTTGCAGAGGAAAGCAGTATTCCGTGTGGAATAGTTTTTCATTGAAATGCTGCTATTGTCTCTGTAAAGGTCATTTGCTCTGTTTTTTACCTTTGAAGTAATTTTCAGTTTTATTTGTTCGAAAGAGAACACTTGATGTTTTGCCCTGCTCACCTCTCTTGTGATTTACCTGGGGCAGGATGATTTTGTTTTGAATGAACCTTTCTCTCCTGCTTGCTTTAGCTTCTTGCACTTTCTTTAGCTTTAGCACTTTTCAGAGTGCTATATTCTTACAGCCTGTATTACAATGATAGCCAGATCCACTATCACCATTTACTTGAGATGCATAGATGAGAAACAAAAATAGAAATCCTGTTTAGGACCATCATGGTGGTGGTATATTCTGGGATAGAATCTGGAGCAAAGTTCCTTTTCAAAAACGTCCAGCCTGTTTTTTTTTTTTTTTTTTTTTTTTTTTTGCTTCTTCTTTTTCTGTTCACTGTAGAGAGTGTTGCCTGTAAAATCCAGGCAGCTTCCAAATTTACTGCTTCTTTCAATTGGGCAAATATGTGAACACAAAGGCTTTGAGCTGGGACTTTAGAATTAATGAGAAAGTAGATTCCACTGCTCAGTTGAGTACTGTGGAAGTGGATTCATGACTCTTCACTGCAATTTTTCTTTAAGCCTAAGCTGCATACAAATGTTACTCTTTTTCTAGGTGGACAACTTCCTAGATTTAGAAGATTTGGATGCGGATGAGGATACGCCCCAAATGAGCAGGGGTATGCCTTCTATTTCTTTTTTCTACTATTTGATCTCTTTAGAAACTACAGTTAAGGCTTTAGACAGCTTTCATGTTCTTCGTTTATTACGGTGGGGCAATCTTTTGCCCCTGAAATAGGAAAGTTGTGAAATTTCTGTTTCAAAACTGAGGTCTTATTAAATTGGTCAAACCCTTTTGAAGATTGTAAAATCTTTGGAATTAAGTGAGATAAAGCTGCCCCTACCACATGCCTACAATTTACCACATAAGTGATTCTTGAATAATTGTCTCAAGGATAGCTATTACAAAGTCAACCTCTTACTTCCTAGACATGCAGTGTGGTAAATTGAGGTTATTTTACACGAGGGACACATAAAATATTAATTGATCAGAACAAATCAGAATTGATTATAAAAATAAACAAAATTCAAATTTTTCCTTTTAGAAAATATTTATTAAATGTGTAAATCAAATACTTAAGACTAAAGATATATGGTGTTACTTATTCTGGGCATATTTCAATATGGTCTGCACTGGAAAGAGGCTTAATGCATAGTCTGCTGATATTTATATTCATGAGAAATTTTTTCTTTCCTGATTAACATTTCTGTGTAAGCCTAGGTACCCTCTATTGATCAAAGGACCTGTGAAATATGTTCAAAATTAATGTTGTTTCAAAAAAACCTTCATTCTTCATTCAGTATGCAAGAATATTGCAACATCAGTGGCAATCAGTTGACATGTAACTGTTGTTTATGGTTTTTTTAGTTGGTCATAAACATGGATTATGGCCATTTTTGTTGGAAGAGGACAGTTTACTCATAATCAGAAGGGTAAGAGTGGTTGGGAGTAAACATTTGGGGAAGACTTTGTAAATTGGTCTCTAAGCCTTTGTTCAGGCTTCTTTGTCTTCGTGAATTGGTGAGGTTTTGGAAATTGGAGGCATATAACACATTTATTCTGGTCCCAGACATTTCACTATTTCACTGAAGGGGTTGTTTCTCCGTCACTCTACCAGCCAGTTAACTCTGTAGTTGCTTATATGAGCGACATTAGAGATCTAAAGGAATTATATCTTGAGGGATGGGTTCTATAGCCTTATACTCTAGGTGGCTCTGAATTTCTGTAGGAGTAATGTAGGAACTTTGAAATACAAGGGAGAACTAAGGCCTGTCAGGACATTACAGTTGGAGATTAAGCACACTGTTTTGGGTTTGGGTGATTTGGGAAGGAATTTTTGTAAAATATTTAGATTCCTATATTCCCTCTTCAAAGAGTCTAATTTACAAGGATTTTGGTGGCGTCTAGTGATGTACATTTTTGACCAATATCTCAGGCCATTTAGTGAAGTTAGTTGGAGAATGACTCTTCAAATCAAATGTTTCTAGTATGCGTATAATAATTTTAAGGTATAAAATCAATTTTATAGGTGGGCAGAAAAGTGCCTGCATTAGGCATTTTTATAATGGTTTAAACTTCTCACTTACTGTCAGCAACAAGAAGGTATACATACTAACATAAACCAACATAGCTGAAAAATCTGGTGTTTATTATATCAATCTTTTCAATTAGCCCATTAACCTTTCTCATTATTCTAATGTTGTTTTCTTTAAACATTTTTCCAAGCTGCACCTTGTAATTATCAGACTTACTCCTTTACTTAAAAAATTGACTGAAAACGTCTTGCTAGTATGATTTCTTCCAGAGGTCAGATAACAGGTGGTCAGATAACAGGCTTTCTACATAACCTTTTATGTATAAAAGGTTACTGAGTTTGAACCTATACTCAATGGACTTGAATGAAATAGTCAAGATCTTCTCACGTATATAATAATGTGCAAAGCCTGGGCTGAAAATTGATCCAGGCTTCAGTGGTGTCTTCTAATTACCGAAAGGACCAGTAGGGTCTCACAATTTCATAATGCACAAGCTGGGTCACTTGAAAGGAAAAAAACAAATTAAATAGCTCTTGCTAAGTTGGATTTTGGTTTGAGCCTAATTTGTGTTACACTTCAGGAATGTGAGCAGAAGGCAAATATTTATATCAGATGGGAAATGTGACATTTTAAATAGGCAAGTTGCTTGTATAATTTTGGCAGCTGGGAGCTTTACTGATTAGATTCTGTTGTTATTGTTTAAGCAACAGATTTGCCGGGGGCAACAAGGAAGTGAGTTGCATATTGTTTTTCTACTACTGATTTTATTTATTCACCTTATTCACTCTCATAAATATTCTTCAGGATTCAGGAACATGATTTTTTTTTTCCTCAATATTTGCTTTATCATTTTAGCAACCCAGGTGGACAGAGGGGAGACAGTTTTGAGGAGCCAACTCTGTTTTCCTCCTTTAAATTTGAGATAAAGTAGTCATTAGTGACTGTCATTCCATGCACAAGATGGCTTCGTGTTATCCAGTGAAGATGTTATGCTGAGACCATAAAAATAGGAAGGATTCGCCATTCAGTTCACACACATACACACACACACACACACACACACACACACACTTGCCTCCAGTTGGGCAACCTTTTCTCTGTCTGAGGAGATATTTTTGAGGTCAAGTTCTCAGCATTCTGTTGTCTCCTCTGTGTCAGTCATGTTGGACAAGAATGACCACTGACTTGTGCTCAGCCATGGGCAGTCCTGTTTGAGTTCTTATTTTCAAGTTCTCCAGGACTTGCTAGTCAGTTAGTAGGTGAGTGCATACACATGAGTACATACAAATGAGCCACATCCCTTTAGTTCTGTGGTTATCTTCAGTGTTTAGAAGCTTTCAGGGCCATGTGACCAGGGATGACGATGGTGATGATCCTGTCCTCCTCCTCCTCCTCTTCTTCCTCCTTCTTCTCCTCCTGCATTGTCTTCTATTTTTGGCACAAAGACTTGAACCCAGGGCCTTACCCATGCTAGTGAGCACTGTACTACTGAGCTACATCCCCAGCCTTAACCACAGATTCTTATTCAAAAAACAGTTAACAGCTGTGGCTTGTGCCTAGAATATAACAAAGAATAAAAATCCAATTTCTTATCCTCATACAATTCCTAATTAATTAGAAGAGTCAAGAATGAACCATGTAATCGCATATATATGATTACATATTGTTCTAAATCACATGAGAGCACAGGGTGTGGGAATTTACATTTGTGGGATCATAGAAAGCTGCCTGAGAGCCTAACTAGATAAGGGGTGTAGCAAAGATGAGGGGCAGATAGGAGAGTGCAGGTACAGCATGAGGAACAGCATGTTTTGAGGATCCGAGGTAGGAGAAAATTTCACATTTCAATCGACTTTTAGACATTTTGTTTACTTTATACTTAGATCATTCAAGGCATGGAACATTGCAATCTCTGATTTGAAGCTATAATGCAAAGCTACCATGATAAAAACAGAATGGTACTGGGACAAACGAAACGAGACCCCAGGATCAGTGAACAGAATTGAAAATGCAGACACAACTCCGAACACTCAGCTACCTTATTGACAAAGGGGCCAAATACCTTCTTTGGAAGAAATGTCACCTTTTTAACAAATGAAAAATTGGCTTTCCACATGCGAAAAATTAAACATAGACTTTTTATTTCTTACTATGCACTAAACTAAAATTGAAATAGATTAAAGATCTAAATATAAAAACAGAAGTGCTTAATTTTCTGGAAGGCAGGGTAGGTAAAACTCGTGAAGACATAGGTGTTTACAAAGATTTTTTGCATAAAACCCTGATCCCACCTGCAATTTTACAGACAACTGGGATCACATAAAATTAAAAAGCTTTTGCACAGTGAAGGAAACCATCAAAAGACTAAAGAAACAATCCACAGAATAGGAAAAAAATTTTTAGCAGCTATTCCTCAGGCAAAGGAGTAGTACTTAGAATATAGTGTATACAGGACTTCCAGGAAGATGATAGAGCAGTAAGCAGCAATAAATCAGCCTCTCCAAGACTTGCAATTTAAACACTGGAAATTAACACCCTGGGGAAGAAAAGGAAGAGGGAGGTGGGTACCTGGAACCCGGAAAGGGTCTGTTGGGAAAATTACAGCCTTCAGAGAAACTGAAGAGACAGAGCTCAGTGCAGAAAAAGGAAGGGGCAACCTGTGCTTCCTCGCTGACTCCTGGCTCATGGAGAGGGAAAGGAAGATTGAATCTACAGAGACAGAAACTGGGGGATGTCAGAGACCTTCAGGGAAAACGCAGCACAGGAACAGATCAGTAGATGCCGGGCATTGCAACAGCTGGTGAATGATCCAGTCCAAGCGTCTGCCACGTCCCCAGGAGAGAGTGCTTGGCCATGTGCCATTTTAGGGAGGGGACAGCTGAACCTGGGATTTAGAGCAGCTGTGGGGTGGCTTCATTGTAGGGCTTCCACTGTTAAACTCCCCAGTGTCTGGTCAGGGAGCCGTACTCAGGCGACTCAGGTCCCATTTCCTTGACCAGAAACCAAGTTCAACTTGCATTTCTTTGGATTTAAAAATCTCAGGACCTGCATACCACCCCAATATGACTGCTGCCTTGCTGGGGTTATCCAGCCTGAATCTGGGCTCTGACTATCTACCAGAGAGAGCAGAGCTGCCCCTTGAACTGGACACTGCCACAAAAGAGTGGGCCCCAAAAGATAACCATAGGCTTGAAATCACGGAGAAATTTCTTTCTTTTTGTTTTGCTTTTGATCTTTTCAAAAAAGTCTTTTTACTTGCTTTTATTTTGTTATTTTTGAGGATGTGAATATTGCTTTCAGCTTTTTTGTTTGGTTTTGTTCTTGCTTTAGTTTTCTCTTTCTTCTGTCTCTTTTTTCTGTCTTCTTCAGCAGTAATCCTAAGTCCTGAGGCTTAGATAATCTTTGTCCTTCAGCCTTGCTTATTCTCTCTTTTTCTTCTTTCAATGCTCTATTTTCCCCTTTTTGCCCTTTTAAACTTTCTCCCCTGAATGTAAAGTCACTCTGTGTGGAAGTTTGCTGTATATAATTTTCTATTTGTCTTAGATTTTGTTATGTAACTATAATTCTCGTACCTAGGTTAAAG